ACCCAACACAACCCACTCAACAGGCAGGGGACTTAGTACGGCATGCATTCCACGAGCAAACTCAGAAATCAGCTGTCTGTTACAGTCCGTGTGATGACGGGTCATTACACACACCCATAAACCCACTTGCGGTTATTGTGGGGGCGGAGGGGCGGGCAGAGTGTGTGTGGGTTTACAATACCCCACATTGTGCTACATGCCATATCGCCCCACAAAAAGATGTGTGGTTTACCAGATCTGGCCATGAGTCACCCAAGCTTATGCTCCTATCCACCCCCCATGATTGGAAACAAACAAAAACCACAACACTCAAGGAAGGCGACACACAAGAATAATAGTGATCGACTGTTGCGTCAGATTTGGACCAACTCATCAGGAGCTGAATCCTCGACAGTCTGCAGGATCGGCTCACAATACTTCAAGTCGTAATCGACTTCAGACCCTGTTGCAAATGGGCAACCATAGCAAAGCATGCAGCCCAGCATACGCAAAGCAACTTATAACACCGCATTGGCGACAACAAGGCAAGTGGGTGGGTGGGCAGGGGGGAGGGCGGGCACAAAACGTCACAACAAGGCACACGACACATAATCACTAGGCAGCACAAGGCAAGTGGGTGAGCAGGCAGGCAGATGAGCAGGTGGGGCGGGATGCCAACACAATCATGGAACTCTGTATAAGATCATCCGGCGAACAATCCGAGATAAACGGATTCTCAAACTAATCCGCTCTGGACTACACGCTTTTTTTCATATGCCACACGGAGAGATTCAAGAGGCGACCATAGGCGCCGCCAGGCCTCTTGGAAAAGCTAGACACATATCCTGTGATGAGGAAGCAGATTAAGGCCTGGTTGAAAGCAGACATTATGACTGGTTTCGGCCTTCGGCCACCTATAACTATATATAACTCTGGCGAGTCTCAAGTTGTATCGCCTTTACTGGCCAACATTGCTTTGCACGGAATGGAGAATGCTTTGAATGAGTGGGCTCAGCAACAGGCGGCCGAAGGCCGAGTTATCCTAGTAAGATACGCCGACACATGGATGTAACAAAAAAGAAACAAAGTGCAATATCACCTATTCAGTGTATTCACATCATATGGAAAACTCACTAGATTTTGTAGACTATAGGTTCAGGCCACTATAGGAGAATGTCTATCAGCACGAGAAAACACAGAGGCGAACATATCCCAAACACACAACACCCTTAATAGTGTTGCAGGTGCTCCGTACAAACGGGCACTGACTATTTGGCACACCACCGGAGTACATTGCCCAGCCAACTAGAGAATCACAATTCCAAAAAAATCGGAGGTTTGGGGCACCAGACCAAAATGGCTGGCGGTGCCAGCCAAAACTCTAAAACAATACGCCGTGCTGGCGTTTGGGCAAAAAGCTTGGCGTAAAGTGGGAATCTGTCTCGTACAAAAGAGGCATGGATGTACTGTCCTTGAAGGCATATCGGTACCGAGACAACACAGAAAAAGGACAAACCACACAGCAAGTAGACAGCGACGTAAAGAAAACACTTAGGTGTTACGATCCTGGCCAATTTCGAAGTGTAAAAAACACGAGAAAGTACAATGCCATCCAATTGCAAAAAGAAATGAATGAACTTGAGAGGAGAGAGAGCGAAAGAAGAAAAAGAAGAAGAAAGAAAGAAAGAAGAAGAAGAAGATGTACACCATCAAAAGACCAATGATAATTCCCCCTTCTTCTCGCCAACGAAACTCCTTCTCTTTTTCTCCTCCCCACTTATTCAAACAATAAATAATAATAATTATGATGAATGGCAGAACCAGAAACAATGTCCGAATCCCTCTTCTACTGGCAGCACAACTTGGGGTCCACCATATCCATGGCAGCACAACTTGGGGTCCACCATATCCATGGCAGCACAACTTGGGGTCCACCATATCCATGGCCGCCCTTCTCCTTCCTCTTCACTTAGGCCGAGGCTATGGCGGACTACTAAGGGCCTCGCCCTGACGTGCAAAAGACAACGCAAAGCAGCTATGGCCTCTTCCTCTTGGATCACCATGCCCGACTCTGCCTCAAAGCTTCTTGATGCAGCTCTACTGCAACAGGGGCCTTCCAGATCCAGCGCCCACCAAGGTGATGAAGATGGCGTCCACCATAGCCACGTAAGTACCCCTGGCGCTCCCCTCTACTAGACCCTTCTTCCTCCTCTTCCTACCCCCAAGCTCCTCCGCCATAGCCAAGGTAGAGAGTTGGGCACCCTTCTTCCCCACAGTGCTGCTTACACCAGCGCTGCTCCAACCAGCGCTCCAGCAGCGTGACGACAAACTTGCACACAGCAAAATGAGGCTGAGCCTCTCGCCCAGCCAGGAGATATAGCGATCAACCAGCCTCACGGGCGGACTCATGATGCTGTGAGCCATGCATGTGTGTGTGACAAATGGATGCAGCATTTCACTTTTTTTCTTTTTTTCTTTTCTTTTCTTTTCTTTTCTTTTTTGCATGTCGTACTTGGAGAGATGTTGATTGGATGGCACTTCATGGTTGTGGGATTCTCAGGAGGCATTCTGACATGGAAGCTGATTGCGGAGGATATACTTAGGGCAAGTGGCTTGAAATACACAATTGTTCGACCTTGTGGCCTCAATGACGAAAAGGAAGACACTCCCTATTTACTTGAGGTAAGACTTTCGTCTGCAAATCCTTCCCTACTCGCCAACCATGCCCCCCCCCC